ACTTTACTAGAACAAGTATGACCTATAAGTAGAAACTAGCCAAGATTAACTAATAGGGGCATAAACATGACAAACAAGAGGCCAAGTTGAGAAAAACTGAAATTGACGACAAGACTCCTCTTCATAGTCGGTTTTCAGTATGGACCTTGAATGTGCAAAGTAGTCGGACATATATCAGGGTAGGGTATTTTATCTTCTCAGTCTTTGGTACTACCAGGTTGGAGACTGTGGACAGACGGAACTAGGCCAGTAGCCTCATATGGTACACCTCCAGCATTCTCTAGTGACACAGCTACTATTTCCATGCTTCATGAAACACCAAAGTCCAGGAAGTACTAGGTTAAGCTACACCTTTTGGACCATTGGTCAAAAGGTATATAAAAGTATGAGGCAATACAACAAAGGCATTTCTTGAAAATGCCTGTCTGAGGCTGGGTGTGGCAGTAGGTCTATAATCCTGGTATTCAGGAAATGACTGATTCAGGAAGACAAGAGTTCAAGGCTAGTTGGGTGATACAGTGAGTTCTAGGAAAACATGGACTTCATAGTGGTAAGTATCCTGTCTCAAAAATAAAAAAAAAAGTAAGGTAGTTTGGAAAAAATTACTGTCCACAACCTACATTATAAGGCTATAGGGTTTTCTTCTTAAAAATAAGTAAATAAATAGTCCCACTCTGCAGCCCTGACTAGCCTGGAGTTCACTGTGTAGACCAACTAGGTTGGTCCCAAAGTCACAGAAATACACCTACCTCTGCCTCCTGTGTGTCACCACACCTAGGAAAGCTTTTCCTTCTTTTCGTTTTTTTAATTGTTTATTTAGGGTAGAGGGGATATGTACCATAGCAAGCATGGAGGTCAAAGGCAACTTTGTGGAGTAGGTTTTCTCCTTCCACCTTTATGGGGTTCCAGGTTCTTGAAGCAACCACCTCTATGTACTGTGCCATCTCACCACCCCCACTTTGGAAGTCTTAAGTATCATCCCAATACCATTCCATTAGGTAAACTCCAAATACAAATATCAGCTCAGTAGAGTGAAACTGGGGTGGGGTGCTCAGGAGGAACATAATTTAGATTCTTTGATCAGGTGCTAAATACATTAAAAGTTAAGTCTGAAATAAATTTCACTTGTTAAGGACAAAAGAGAGGCTTTGGAGTGCCTTTTGAAAACCTTCACAGAACAGATACTTAAGAGTTGTATTAAAAAGATCAACTGCTAAATGATGAAAAATCAAAACCCAAATTACCTGTCAAGTTCATAGCAACTAAACCCAGATCACCTGGCTCCCAAGACTACACTTTCCAGGAAACCACCAGTAAGGTCTCGATAATTGCTTGTCTTAATCTCCCTAAAATCATAGAACAATGTCCAAGTACCTCCTGCTCTTCAGGCAAGTGGGATCCCTGGTTAATCTGCAACTGGCAAATCTTTGTTTCAGGAAGCAAAACTTAGCATTCTGTGAACCAATCAATCTTCCATGTATGGTGCTTATGGTTCCTTATTAATTAGTTATTGTCTGTATTTATGAAATATTAAGGGAACTTTGTTTTTCTGTAGAAAACACAACATCTTTAAAAGGTTCTATTAAAAGATCATCTAGTTTTAAAAATTATTGTGTGTGTGTGTGTGTGTGTGTGTGTGTGTGTGTGTGTTTGAGAGCTCACGAGAGCACCTGAACATGCTCAAGTGCACACAAACTCATGAGGTGAAAGGACAACCTGTGAGAAGTCAGTTCTACTCCTTCTATGTGGGACTTGGGTCATCACGCTTGGTGGCAAGCACCTTTACAAGCCAACATCAAGTTCTTTACGTAGTTATATAAATAAGCCATGTTTGAATAGATCTGTACTCTGTAAAAATGATGACCCAGAAACAGAATGTTTATTTCCTTCCATGGACTGAGAAAACCTTTGGACAAGAGGTGACTCTAATCAAAAAGACAACATGAAGCTGGTGAGGAAGTAGTAAAGAGAATGCCTGAAAATAGCTCTGACTGAATAAGGAAGAGGAAAAAGGCAATCCACATTTGAAGGAAAGGAGGATGAACGTGCATAAACTGTAAACATAACTGTTTTTTGTTTTTGAGACAGGGTCTCTCAGTGTAGCCCTGGCTGTAGTGGAACTTGCTATGTAGACCAGGCTGGCCTCGAATTCACAGAGATCCTCCTGCCTCTACCTCCTGAGGGCTGGGACTAAATATGTGTGCCACCACATCCAGTTTATATCTCTATTTGAAATTGTGAAATGCCAGTATTTAAGACAGAAGCATTAAGGAAACTAACTTTTGAAAGCACATGTAGAGATAAACAGCAAAACTGAATTATTTACATTCTTCCTAGAAAATTTCAGCAAGAAAAACCCTAAAAGTCTCTTCGTCAACACAGTGATTGGCATCTTTATTTTCAGGCATTATAGTGTGTGCCTTGCATTAATCAAGAACACAGCTTTGCAATGACATCTGAGTTCCTTCTTCACTTTGTATCCTGCCACAGAAGGCCAATGCTGTAAAAACAAGAATTAATCTTGAAGAGTGCAAGAAAGTTAAAGGTATAAACAGGATTTTCCACACCCTCCAGCAAACCATAAAGGTCCCATACCTGGTTTAGGTGTGTAATTAAATTCACTTAAAGGTGTAACTTAAGTCCTGATGCTCATGTTTTATGAAAAGGGGTCTTCCTATGACTAACAAGTGATGCTCAACAGTTTAGTTACATCAGAACATACAAATGGAGCTTATTAGAAAGGGTAATAATTCTTTAGAGTGGACATTCTCAAGGTGTTCTACTTGTGAATTTATTGTTGAGAGGGGACAGAGCCACTAATAGAAGAAACTGTTTTCCAAACTGTTCCAATGGAACTCTGTATCTAGACCACTTATCAAAGAAACACAGACAAGTCTTCTTTCCCCCATTCTCCGCTTTCCTTCTTCATGTCAAAAACTGACAAGTAAAACGGTTCAAAATGCTCAGAAACAAGCTGGGTGTGGAGGTATAGTCTTTAATCCCAGCACTCAGGAGGCAGAGGCAGGCGGATCTCTGTGAGTTCCAGACCAGCCTGGTATACAAGAGCTAGTTCCAGGACAGCCTCCAAAACCACAGAGAAACCCTGTCTTGAAAAACCAAACCAAAAGAAAACAAAAAAAAACAAAATCCACAGACAGACAAAAAAAACCCAACCCAGCCGGGTGTTCGTGGTGCACACATTTAATCCCAGCACTCGGGAGGCAGAGGCAGGCGGGGATCTCTGTGAGTTCCAGGCCAGCCTGGTCTACAAAGTGAGTGCCGGGATAGGCGCCAAAGCTACACACAGAAACCCTGTCTCGAAAATCCAAATAAATAAATAAACAAATAGATAAATAAATAAATAAATAAATAAATAAATAAATAAATACCCAACCCAATTCGGAAACACTGCAGACCCATAAGTATTTGTGTTCTTACTGTATTAGCAGGTTTGGGGATTAGAAAAAAAAGTCCTCAAGGAATTCTCAACAACAGCTCCCAACGATACAACTTGACTGCATAAATGTTAATTCACAACCCAAGGACAGAACTGAGCAGGAGGAAAGACCACGGAATGGGACATGTCCTCATAAATGATCACCTATTTTGCAGTAGCCTAGTTAGGTTCCTGCCTACAAACCCTTTTCTTTTCGATCTGCTCTGCGTTGCATTATCAGATTCCTATCTGCGGTTCCACTTACAAGGAATTTCCCAAGAAGTTTCAAAGACTCTCAACTACCTATCACATTAAGTTTAAACTCTTCTTCAACATTTAGTCTTCGGTAGGCTACCCACCTGTTCAACGGTTTCACACAAAATGCAGTCTCTGCTGATCCTTTTTGGAGGGAGAAGGACCCCAAGCCTAATTGAATTACTTATTCTCCAACTGAAATGCAATCCCTGTATCGTCAGAGAAGAGTCACTAGTTCTCACGACATCCTTTAGCATCAGCTTCCCTAGCAAATGGCATGCGCATCCCAAGGTGTTTTCGGGATTACCGTTCCAAACAGCTGCTCACATTCCTAGCTGCCCTTTGGTGATAGGAGAGCCGTGGTTTGAGGATCGGGCACGGGATTCCCTTGTAGGAAAGGGAAAGAGGGTTGGACAGTTTCAAGCTATGGGAGGAAAAACTAAAGGAGGCAAAAGGGAAACGGTCTGCGATCTGTACGTTCTTCCCTTTCTTTGGGAAGAGTAGAGAAGGGACAGGAGACCTCAAGAAACGAACTCCTGAGGAAGATCAGAAAAAAGAAAAAAAAAAAAAACAAAACCGCGGGGCTCTCGAGGTAGGTCATATGGGGTAGGGGTCCTGGATGAAGGAAAAGAAGCGTCATTCTCGGGAGAAGGGACTGGTTACAAACAACGCGAAACAAAGGGGTTGGCAGCCGCAAAGTGAGAGAGGCTGGAATACGAGAGATCCGGGAATGTCCGGAGGGCGAACCGCAAGAATATGAAAGGGAACACGACACGTCCCTCCGAGGACCCGCCGAGGACGTGGTTGCTAAGAGAGAGGGACTAGACAGGTGCGAATGAAGGCTGAGGAGCCTGTGTCTCTCCGGCTTCGCTTCTAAAGGGCGCGGGGGCGGGGAAGAAGAGTTTTTCAGTGGGGGTCCTGTCCCCAAGCGAGACACCGTTCCCAGGACAGTGCTCTCCAAGACCGGAG